TTTCACATTTTATATTTTTACATAATTTTCTTCACATTGCAGAAATCTGTTTTCCTCTGACGTTAAAGTTTATTTCTTTTGTAGATTCTTGTCCAAGAAGCCAGACCCGGGGCCATGATGAAGACGCTGTGCTGTTGCTAAGTTATATCCTGTATTTACACCAAACCTGATTAAAGGATGTTTGATATTCTGCGTACACTTGCTTATTAATCTCGGTTTTCTTTCAGGGTGCTTTTTAATTCTCAGCCTCATTGTCTCTGGAACAATTACAGACGGCCACATGTGGACGCTTTAACAATCACCCGGATCAGTCACTTGGCGCAAACGGGCGAAAACTAATGAACGAGTCGCTCGAGACGCTCACGGGTACGTTTACGTTCTCAGCAAAGAGCCTCATCTGCATCCAGGGCACTTGTGGATGTGACAACAGTTTAGTTTTGCGCAGTGCAACAGGAGACAGAGAGCATCTGCAGACGTACGTCAGGCCTTCCCCTCCAGATCGGCCATATGGCGGAGCGCCGCCGCCGCCGCCCGGCTGCTGTTGAGACTCGGAGCGGGTTGTCGCGGGGCAGTAAACAAACCCCGAGAAGGCAGGAAAAAGCACTTTGTTAGACAAACAGGTCACTCTGGGGACCGATCACCATCTCAGAGTGCCGAGTCTGGCCCACGCCCAGCATCACTCAGCGAGGCCTGGCAGGCCGCTGATGAGAAACTCTGCTGCCGAGCCGAGCCTGGAGCACGACGGCCGCTTTGCTCATCGCAGCTTTTTCCATTTTAGGCTACGTTCTCTGATATTGTGGTTTTTTACTCCTGCTTTAAAAACACATCACTAAAGACAAAAGATGAAAACAGCTTAAAACCCCTAAAATAAACAGAATAATGAAAAACATGAGCGTGTAATTGGAAAAATGTTCCTAAAACAGTGGAAATAAAAACACTCAATGCAAAAAAATAGATTTTTTTCTGTTATTTTCAGGCCAGAATCAGCTCCTGTTGGAATTTAGATTTAAAAACTAAACTAAAGATGAGTCTTTCTGCCACTGTCACCTGCTCCATCATTTTTAATTTATCTCTACGTTATTTAATTTAATTTGCTTTAAACTTGCACCACAGCAATGTGAGCTACCTCTGCATACATATAAATATCATGTAAATATATTGTTATGCTGTTTTAATTCTGTAGTTGGTGCATTATTTTGTAAACACTGTAAAAAAATATATTTAATTTCACAAAAAAGTTTTTGTTTTAAGTGTTTTGTTACCCTCAAAATACACAAAAAATATCAATAAAAGTAGAAAAACAGACAATTAATCTCACATATCTGATGTAAAATCAGAATAAAATATAAATTTAGAGACGATGTCAAGGAAGAGAAGTCGTGTAATTTTGTTGACGTTTGTTCGTTAAATGATGTAAAATTATCGAAGTTTTCACCACAAAAATGTCGAATGAATGTTAGTTGATTTAAAATAAACTAATACAGTGAATAACGCTGAAAGCTCTCAGCGTTCTAACACATGATAGTCACATAAAGTCATGTTTTATATCAGTCTTTAGGGTTTAATTCATCACTGTGCACATCATTAATACTCTGTAAGGTGCTCAGTTTTTCCTTTTTACTCCAACAAAAAATAAAAAAATAATTCAAATCAACTTTTATTTTTACAGTGTCTCATTGAGAAGCCATTCGTTAGAGTATTACTGTTAATTAAGACGGTTTTTAAAATCTGTTTTTGCTCAACACTGATTTATTTTCCTCTTTGGGGCAAAACAGGAGAAACCGATCTGAAAAGGCCACAACGGATGTCTGAGCAGCGACACCTCAAACCGGTTTCAATGCGGTTTTCGCCTCCAGTCTGGACCCGATCGGAGCCGGCGGCTTCGCTGAGCCTCCAGCTCGGATCGGATTGACTCATCGCTTCCAGAGGAGGCGTGAGACAGAACTCAGCGACACGTTCACAACATTTTCCACCAAAACTTTTCCACCTAAACACTGATAGCGAGCGGCGCCGCTTCCACCGAGTCGACGCTCAGCAAGAAGCTTTGAACTGTTTTCTGCACCGTTCTAGAGCAGAACTAGTTTGAGCAGATTGAACTTTCTGCACCATAAGTGTTGCAGCTGGTTTTCTATTTTGCACAAACTCTTCTTCTTGTAAACACATTTTAATCCACCTCAGTGCACAAGAAGAACTCGTTTATTGCTGCATGTGAGAATAAAATCCTTCATCAAGCAAATTTAATCAGACTTAACTTAACCCTCCTGTTATCTGTCAGTGTTTAACGTCTCTAAATAAGTGACTGACATCATTTTTCCAGTTTTATTTAAAGAAACTTGGATTTTAATTGTGATCATTTCTCTGGAGGTTTACGTTGCTGGGATCAAACTGAACCCAAGAATCAAAGATGTCAGTTAATCTGAAGGTAAGAGGAATAAATCCAGGTTTAAACCAACTAAATTAGAGTTCTAATTACCCACAATGCTAAGCTGATGCTGTCAACCACCAAACTAAGGTTCACCTGAATGAGTAAATCATCTTTTTTTATTCATCTTGCGATGCTCGTACTCACCTTGCTGTGCGTTCGTCACGCTGCCTGGATGCAAGTCTGGGAGCAAGAAAAACAAAGTAAAGCAGCAGGTTAGAGACAAATCTGTGAGAGACGTCCACCGACGTGAGTCCAGAGAGAAGCTGAGGTTCTTACAGCTGGCCAGCAGCAGCGTGGTGGAGGCGAGCAGCAGTAGGAGGCCCATCCTGCTACCGTCCTGGAGCTCGACCGACTGCCGTCTGGGCTTCCTCGGGGGGCTGATCTGGTGGTGGTGGTGGTGGGCGGTGGCTGAGGTGGTTCTGCACCTCAGCCAGTCAGCGGTTATCACCCCGAGCAGCCCGGCGGCTCAGCCTAATGTGACAGGAAGCCAGTGTTGTTTCCTCAGGATGTTCACGCTGCAGCTTTGTGCCGTTGTGGAATGTTCTCCTCTGGACTCCTGCATGTGGAGCGTCGGCCACAACAACGGCTGCTGCTGCTGCTGCAGGAGTCGGGCCTTTGACCTCGGACCCCCGGAGGTCGGCAGGTAGAGACGCCACCGAGGAGGAGGTGCAGCAAAAACCCCGTTTCCTGAAGCGAAGATAAGGGCGCGACCCGGCGGCTGAGAACATAAATTAAGAGCCTTGCGGGTGCGAATAGTTTCCACCATGACTTCACCGGGCGGATCCTCGATGAAGCTCTCGTTGGTCAGCGACAGGAAGTCAGTGACGTAGTTCTACCTGAGCAAGAAGATGCAACATGATGCATGTGCTGCATCACCAGCTTCTGGTTTGGTTTTCACGCCTCAGCTGCAGTATTCAAACGTATTTATTATGTTTGTTGTGTTATTGGGTGTTTTCACTCGACTCCATGACGTTGCTCGGCCGTCTGTTGGTGCACGGATGGCAAAGAAAGACCTCGAGTCCTGTTCAACAAAGTGAAAGATTTAAAAATGTTAAGAGCCAGTGAGGAAATATATGCAGCTTTGTTATCTGGGACCAAAAACTGAATTCTGCTCAACGTGGAGCTAAATCAGAGCTCTGATGTTTGTACGTTCTCCCTAAAAACAACCTCGAGAAGCTCGTTTTAAGGATTCAGTGTCTCCAGAAATAAAACTCCCACAGACATGAAGGGACCTGAAGACGCCGACTGATCAAACCCATCCAGCAGATTATTTCAAATCAGGCCAGATGAGATGCACGATTCCTTCTGGGTCTCCTCCCAGTCGAGTCACATCTCTGGAAAAGCTTTGCAGCCAACTGGTGGTAATAAAGCGTTTCATAGATTACTGACTAATTGTTCAGGCAACAATTAATTTGTTTACAAAGTAACTCATTTATCCATGAATAAATAAACTGAAAGCAACCAAAGTGGGGAAACGCAGATGAAAAAGGGACTCGACTGTTTAATCATTTAAACCCTGACGTCTTAACACAAGCTGTAAATTCAGTTATTTATTCCTTTTATTATTTAAAAAATTCAGTTTTTAAAAACTTCACTAAAATTCCTAAAAATTTGAATCAACATGTACAATTTTTTTTAAAGTGTCCAACATGTCACCAACCCTGAACAACGATGGAAACTCTACATACGACAGATATTCCATTACACAGACTTGTTTCTATACTTTCCGCACTTTGCTGCAGTTCTGTTGAAAGATCTCAGAATTTTTGCCACATGACCGTCGGTCACAGCCGAGTGTTTCTTGGTTCAACATTTAGGAGATGGAGTGCAAAATTTTTTTGTTTTTTACAGAATCTTGCCAGAGAAAATGGTTTATTTTTGAATAAAATGTGGAACCGAGTGCCCTCTGGTGTTCCCAACATTGGAAAAGAATAATAAGTGAACGTAATGAAGTGAATGTGAAATATCACAGTTTGCGGGCTTAGATTTTTTGATTAAAGGACCATTAAAAGCTATAAATCTGTGAATTACTTCTGGTTTTACAGTTTGTAGCCACAGTTTGTGAAATTTTAGGGGATTTAAAAAAAAAAAAGACAGCATTCCTCTCAGAGCTGGTTTTGGGGTTCAGACAGTAAATTTATTGACAATAAAATAACTGAGTTGTAAATTCTTTCAATAATTCCTGGCCCATTAAAATGTCGAATAATGAATTAGTTGGTAACTAGTTATTTATTTATGGATTCATGAATTTGTAAGCAAACTCATTAGCGCCTGTTTTTTTCCGGACAATTTGTTATTTACTGAAAAGCTTTATTACGACTCCCGAGGTTCATATTCAGACTAGAAATTCAATAATCCATCACGGCTGCAGAACTACAGATTATATTGTTCTTTTTAAAAAAAAAAAAAAAAGCAGCTCTTGTAGCTCCACAGTATTATATAAATACATTATTGAAATCACAGGAGGAGCCCAAAATGAAAAGCGAGAAAAAACTCACTTGTTGATTTGAGCAATAACTTAAAAAACATTAAATACGACAGGTGAGGCTTCAGAAGCTCACCTCTATGCTTTTGAAAAGTTCAGTTTTGCACACAGGTCCTCATACTTTGAAATATTTCTCCAATATCCCTGAACTGACGATAATCATATATTTAAACACAAAACACAATTTTGTTAAAACTCAAACACAAACTCAGACACTTAACGCTGTTTTAAACGCCCGTGACAGAAACAGACAAAATCCGGTGTTGTATTTGGTTTATTTCACTGATTTCGTCTCCTGTCTTATAAACCACAGCCAGCAAAGCAGTCTACAGTCACAGAGACAAATCTGATTGTTTTTTTTTTTTCCTTTCTTACTACTGTGTTAAAGTCTTTTTCTCCAGATCTAAAAATCTTAAAACTCAAAGCAGGATACTTAGAGATGAAGGTGGTTCTGAGCTCAGGGTGCCAAAAAAAAAAAGAAAAGAAAAAAAAAAGCACGTTTTTAGGCCGAGCCGGCGAGGCGTTCAAGGCCCCGCGATAAACCACGGAGAGCTCAGTGACGGTGGGAACGGATGTGGTGACCGGTTATACAGGCTGCACGGTGTGTGTTTACCCAGTTTATGTTCAGTTTCGGCGGGATAAAAGCGAAGCTTGTGACGGCTGAGGGGCGAGGAGGGCTTGGCGGGAGAAGAAATGGCGGGAGAAGAAACGGCGGGAAAAAAATGGCGGGAAAAGACATAGCAGGAAAAAAGTGCGGCATGATCGTGAAAAGCTGTCTTTTCCTTCCACATCACTGAGGCCAAAGGCAAACAAAATACATGAAGAATTAAAAACATAAAAATACAACAACAGAAAAAGTATTTAAGAAAAAAAAAAGAGCTAAGAAGGCAAAGCAGCAGCCTCAGAGAGGAGGCACGTCGTTGGTGATACTGGACAAAAGAAATACACAAAAAATTCAAAACTTTCCTTCTACTTAAAGAGGCGCCTTCAACAAACGGCACCGCGACGACAAACACGGCAATAATTTACACGATCTCTGGAGGGAGGCGGGCTTTTTATTTTGGAGGCAGCTCACGAAATACCTGAGCGAGGACTGAAACCCGACACTTCGTCCCTCGACATGCGACGCACTTCACGCCTCCGGCTCCAGAAGAAACAAGTCGGACGATAAAACCGAACTAAAAACTCAACGGAAACCTTGCTAAGGAGGGGTTTGAAGCTGCGGTGAATAAGCTTCTTTTTACGAAGATGATAAGAAAACGAGCAAACAGGTGATTGATCAGCAGCTCTGTCGCTGATCGGGGTAAAACCACTCAGACGGGTCGCGCTGCAGTGGATGTACGTGTCAGTATTGCTGTGATGCTGCTATCGTCTTCTAACGGAAGCGCCGGGAGGAGCTCGATGCTGGATCTTATTGCTTTGCAGGGCAGGTAGGCAGGTCTCTGGCGATGCAGGTTTCCCCCCCAAAAAAAACAAATCAACAGAAACGCCCCTCGGAGCCACAACAAATAAGAGGCCTTGCGGGGAAATCATGATCACGTTTGGCACGCCGGGTTCAGGGAAGCGAGAGAGGAGGCAAGAGCAGGTGTCTGTTTTTGGGCATCGGTTCGGTCCAAGGCTGCGGAGGCCCGCCGTGGGGGAACATCTGTGCTATAATCCAGTTATACACACGAAAAAAAAAAAAAAGAAAAAACAAAAGCTTCATCACTGATTTCAGGCAACAACAAGCACAGTCCGCCGTCTCTGGGCGCGGTAACGGCCGTCACGAGGAACTTTCCGAACACACCGGGGGTCCAGCGGAGAGGTGAAGTCTGTGTTTCCTGCACCAGTGAATGTGTTTCAACAGTGGTTTGTTTTTTTTTGTTTGTTTGTTTGTTTTTGTGTTCTGTCCTCGTGGGTGGCCACAGTCCGTCTCTCGCCACATCTGGTCACATCTGGTTCAGGTAGTGATGCTCGCCGCGGGGAAGCCCCGGCGATCGGTGGGTCTTTAAAATAGAACCTCTCTTCTTCTTCTTCTGTATATGATATTTAAATATACACACTTCTCAGCACAGCCAAGTCTACAATCATTAGCTTCATAATAAGAATATGAATAAACAATGATAATATTATATATATATATATATATGTATGTATATATATATATAGAGTCGTTCGTAGCAGAGTTTTTGTCAGCAGCCATCACTAGAACATTCAGGGTGGTAATTGCATATGTACAACAAAAAAAACATCATTTACATCCCGGTGCTCGAGGCTCAGGGTCAGAAGTGTTGGTGGGGCTGGAGGAGGAGGAGGAGGAGGAGGAGGAGGAGGTGATGGATGCTGGTGTGTTATCTGAGCCTCTTCTCTGCTGAATAGATGGACATGTAGTAGTCGTTGCTGCCGACCGCCAGGTGAGGCTGCAGGGAGACGGAGAGGAGAGCGAGGGTCACGTCACAAAAACATTAAAGCATCATCATTGTTTTGTTCTGGGGTAAGCTAGCCTCCTAGCTTAGCCGCTATCCACTGTGAACGTGGTGAATGTCCTGACTTGTGCTTCTCGTTCAGCCAAAACAGCGCATTTCATTTGTCGATAATCGGTTCAATGAAAATAACTTTTAATTGGACAAAAGCCAAACATCGGCTCCGATCATCGACCACACTGATAATCGCTCTGCCCCTAATTTAAACTCTAATGTGGCGATAGGGAGGTTCTGATTAAGTGTTTTTTAAAAATAGTTAGAACCTGCTGATGCCATTTTCTGAGATAACACACACTTCAAGTATCGTGGACCAGCTGTAGTACCTGTTTGCACCACCAGGTGGAGCCTCTTACCGTTTAATAGTGAACAGTGGGGGTTTAGCTGATGAAGGGGCACCGTGACTTCTCTGTTCCTATAAAACGTGTCCGTGGCTTAAAAAAGCAATATTTGTGTTATAAAATAATCAACCAGCATTTATTTAAAAAATCCTCACGCGAAAGTGGACACAAGCGAAGGATGAAGGTTAGTTAAAAAAAAAACAGCACATTTATAACCAATCTAAGCTGCACACTGCTTGAATGTAATGATCTAATGATGCTGAGTGGCTGCAGCGTTCTGGTCGACAACCTGCGGCGTTGCTTTCACAGGTGAGTCCAGAGACGACGTAAAACATCACAAGCACCATGAGGACGGTGGATTCATGATCTGTGCAGCTAAAACTCGACGTTCTGGAGACACGAGAGACTTTAGTTTGTTAAAAAGGTGCATGATATGAGACCGTTCGTGTTCTGGAAATACTATTTCTTTTCATGTTGATGTTGGACAGCGTTGACCATCTAAAGACAATGTGCAGGTTTTTATTTCCTGACAAGACTTTCTTTGTTCACTGCAGCTCCAGTGAGCAGCCGAGTTAAATGTGTTTTCTGCAGGAAACACCAAGAAAAATCTAACTTTACGATGTTCTAAGTAAAGATAAAACCCGGGCAGATGATACATACGACAAGGAACCCTTTTTGTTTGACGGCACGCTACCTAAATACAACCCAACCAGAACGTTTTCAGAGAAATATTATAATTTAGCTCCAATACATTCATCTGTAAATCGATCCTAAATTCATCCCAAAGTCCATTCAGGTATCTTTCTGACATGTTGGCTCAGACTGAGTCATCCCGTCTTACCCAGTGAGGATGGAAGGCTAAACAGCTGATGGCGCCGATCCGCTGGCCCATGAAGCCGTCGTAGTACTTTATGTTGCTGATGACGTCGCCGTTGGCGTTGTAGACGGCGATGAACTGGTTCATGGATCCGCTGGAGGGAAGGCGGCGGAACAGAAACGTTTATTTAAGGACAGAAACAGGTTCCCGTAAGTCAGAGGTTCTCCTGCCGAGGACTCACCAGGCGAACAGGTTGGCCTGCGGGTGGATGTCCAGCGCCGTCAGGCCTTTGACCGTCTGCAGCACGTTGACGGAGTCCGGCGTCCGCGGCTCGAAGAACCGCACGTCTCCGTTGACGCTGATCGAAAGTCAAGACGGGAAGTCAGAAAACAGTAACGTCACTGAGCATGAACCTGGTTAGGAAGCAGAGGGTCTACCTGACGCTGATGATGTGTCCGTCCGTCTCCTTCTGGAGGTGAGCTTTGACCACCCAGGCGCCGTGCTCCCTGTAGGTCATCACGCGACTGCACAAACAAACAAAGACTTCAGCTGCTGCTCAGGAACTCCTTTTTATTTATTTCATGTATGTTTGTGTTCAGAGTTGCTCCGGTTCAACCTGCAGGTTTCCATAAACCCAAAAACCCACCTGCAGGTTTTAAAAGTCAGATTACATTTGAAGAAAGTTTAAAGAACTTGAAGAGCGAGAAACTGTAAAAACAGGAGGAACCAAATCTTAATATTTAATTAAAACAAACTAAACTAAAGCGACCAGCAATTATGTGAGTAAAATGCTTCTTTTCGGCTGAGCTGCAGCGTTTACACCGAGCAGACACAAGAATCAAGCTAAACATGGAACTAGATTATGTAGAGCCACTATTTTCCAGTTTCAGTAACACCTGTGGGGACTGATGATGATCAAAGACCTTTGCTTTCACTGTTCTTCTGCCGTTATCACTTTGTTCTACAGCAGAGCCGACGTTTCTGAGTCCTCTGCATCTCTTGGTGGTGGTTCTGTTTCCACGTCGGTGCAGAACTTTATGGTTGTTTGTTGTCCCGTTTAGCAGAACTGGACTTCTACTAAATAAAAAGCTGAGCATCTAAAGGCCTGCTTCAGTTGGTGGATGATAAAAGATGAATGTGCATGTTTGTGTATATTTAACAAATAGAGACGTCTCGTGTGGCGTGTAATGCGGGTTTGGAACCACCAGGTGGCAGCGTGAGATCAGGACCGGAGCGTAAACGTGAGCGTCCTCCTGGAGCTGGATCACTCGCCGCCCGTGATGTGACAGAAACGAAGCACCTGATCCGACTGACATCCTGAGCTCACGGTCCTGCAGAGGAACACCGACTTCTGCGCCGCCGTGCAGGTTTGACAAACGTTTTCCTGAACACGCTTCATACGTGACCCGTGTGCGCGGCGCCTCACTAGCAGGCTAATAGTTGCTGAAGGATGTGACTGCGCGCCTGAGGGGAACTATTAAATGAGCTTTATTTAAAGATTTATGGGCCACTTCGAGGTTTAACTGCTTTGTTTTCTCCCTCAGGGACCCGAATTAAAATAATGTTTAACCAACTGGGGGGGAACGGCGTCACCGGGGTCCATTAGAGGAGGTGGCACCCCCGAAGGGAGATTTACGGCTCGCTGTATATAATAAATACAGATTATAGAAGTTGAATAATGTAGGGATCTGTGGGCGTTAATGCCCACGGTGGAGTTAACTGAAGGTGGGACGGAGCAGAGGAGTTACAGCAGGGATCCGATGTCTAACAAGAGGGACTCGGGGGAGCTTCACCATTCGTTGGGGCCCATCCGGCGGTCGAAGACGCGGACCGATCCGTCGCCGAGGCCGGCCACGATGAGCGAGCGCTGGGAGTCGCAGGACAAGCTGGTCACGCAGCTGTCGGCTCCGGTCGGGATGTCCTGCAACACAAACACAGTGGTGTCAGACCTCCTCCAGAACCGTCCGTCAGGAGCAGCATCAGCCATCCATCATGTCAGCGATTAGCCCGACAAGGACCAGCACAGGCTGAGAACCAGAACTAACGGACCACACGTCAAAATAATGGAACTGATCGGGTTCGGGTTAGACGTGAAGATTTAATGTGGAAAAAGTCTCACAAACAGGAATCATTCAGCGTTTTAGCACCAACAGCAAGAAACTTTACAGGAACCTGGAATCCGTTTCTGAATTTAATCGAGAAAAAAAACATCCTGTCATCGACATACTGGCTGATTTTATAACAAAAAACAAAACGTATCTTAGCTGGAACCAAACCATCGCTACATTCTATTCAAGCTAGCTTAATATTCACGTTTGATTAATTTAATGTGTCTCGTTTTAAAAAATGTACCAAAAATCAACCGTACGCTCCAACTAGATTCTGTAAAAAAATAAAAATTCTGTGTTCCTCGATGCAACCGTGAAGCCATCATGGAATCAGCTGTGACTGACAGTCACTGAACAAAAAATAATAAATAAAGAGGGACTTTACTGTAGAACTGCAGGCAGAGAGGAGGCGGGTGGAAATCAAAATGTAAACAGTAAAATATCTATAATATGTCACCATTTATTTGTCCAGTATTGGTATATTGATCCCAGGTTTTTCAATAAATAAATAAATACTGGAACAATATGAGCACATGTTGGTTTCAGGTATTTTCAATTTTTGTAAAATAAACAATCAAATAAATGTAAGTTTCATTTAAAAAAAAAAAATTCTTATGATTTCATGACATCACAGCTGAGTCATACAGCATAAAAGATAAATATCTTTTAGTTCTTTCTACTGTTAACCGTGGTTCTTGACTTTACATCGAGAAAATGTGACAGGAACAAAAAAAGAAGAAACTGTTGGAAGCTCAACAGTTTAAAAGACTAACAAAACATTTAGGCTGCAAAGTCAAAGTAAAAAATAAAATCCAAACAATATGTGGATAAATTAAAATTACACATATGAAGATGAAGGAACACTTATTTCCAAATATCTCTCTGGCTCACTCCTGATTGGTCGGCGGTCGTAGCGACTGCGGTGTCACGTCGCCCGACCTTCGCTGATTGGCCGGATGATTCTACTGTATTTTATTTTTAAAAAGGAAGTTACCATATATGGGTCCTTGCCTGATAAAGGACTAAAATTTCAGATTTTTCAAACGCAAAAGGAGAATTCTAGATTAAAAAAAACTAACTTCGCTGAGGTTGCTAAAGGGACGAATGACTCGGAAATCAGGTGCACGTCTGTCAAGAAGTCGATAAAGCTCACATGTGGAAGTAAAACGATCAGAACATCTTCACACAACGAGACAACCGAGGCCCCTGGAAGGATTAATGGACTCGTGTTACAGAACTTGAAGAGGTTCTCGTACCTGGACCTTCATCTCTCGGTCGGTGTCCCAGATCCTGATGACCCGAACGTCTCCGGAGGTCATGAGGAGTCCGGTCTCCTGCTCCCAGTCCACCACCATCCCGGCTCCTGCAACACAACAACGATTATACGGCAGCTGTAGGATTACACTGAATATAAGAGTATTTTATTTAATGTGCATCCACTGGTAGATAATTCACTGATTATAATCACATAATACACACAAAAATAAAGGTTATTCCATCTAAAATCATCAGGTTGCTTTCTGAAACTAGTTCATCCTAAACTCTGGATATTTAAAATGCTATCTATGAAAGTTTAGCTTCAAACGCTTCGAGTCAAACACGTCTGGAGATACTGTCTTTTAAAGAAATTGCCCAGTGAACAACTTTTAGCACGTGTTTATTGTTTGTTTGTTTGGAATAAAGATAAACGATGATGGGAGCAGTTTGTGAAGCTGCAGGTTGAATTTTCAAGCAGCTGATTGAAGAGGAAACTGGACACAAACAATCTGTCGGAGGTTCGTCGGCGCGTTAACGGGGAGGTTCTGGAGAAACACGACTTGTGCAGGTGCAACAGAAAGCGTCGGCTTTTGTTTGATGAAAGTCTCTGGGAGCGAACAAACTTCAGGCTGGACGTCCTCGCTGTCGAGGCGACCGCAGGGAGATGCCAGCGCTGACCCTGGATCTGAGCCCGTCAGCAGATTCTGGCTTTGATGAGTCAAATGGCAGTCGAGTGAGAGAAGCGAGGAGGCATGAAGGAGCAGCGAGACTCTCCGTGTGCTGCTGCACGAGGCCCGCTGGCTCGGAGACGGCTGGAAGAGGCCTGGGCCGGCAGCCCACGGCCAGAACCAGCACGTGTCCCACGCCTTTTGGGCTTTTTTTTATTGTGACTCTCGGAGGGAAATAAACTGACAGTCGCTGCTGATTTATGCAGGAAGAGTTGAAGCAGGACTTGAGCTCGAAAGGCGTGAAATCTTTAAAACATGACGACACAAATAAAGAGCAAAATTACACAATTTATCAGAAACAGTAAAAAAACAAAACAAAAGAAAAACACGTCCTGATCAGCAGCAGCTCCCTCAAGAAAACGATCCAGCTCTCCAGATCACTTCATTCTTTACGTCTAAAAATAAACACTTTGATGGAATCACATTCTGCAAAAAACTGAAAAATTCTGCTGTTTTCGGCCCAACCCAGAACCTAGCACGACTCAGCTGTGACCAACAGTCATGGAACCAACTCTGCTAGCACGCTAACAGCTAGTTTTTGCTGCTGAAGCGTTCCAGGTGGAGATAAAACTCTGTCTGGAAGCACGTAAACAGACGTCTGACAGCAACAGTCGGACACGAATAAACGCACCGTTGGACGTCCTGCAAACTGCTTTGCTTCGAGCACGACAAGGCCTGAAGTTGGACAGAACGCTAACCGGACAGATTTGCGTGGACTGGAGCTAAAGACGCTCAGTTCACGAGATAACAGGAAGTCCACGCAGTCAAATACAGGAACATACGCAGTTTACAGCTTATTTAGCCTGAACAACGTCTTCTCTTCTTTGACTTGTTTATTCTGTAACGCTGAACACTGAAAACCCAACGTGGGGTTTTGAAAGCTACGCTAACTTTAAAAACAAAACCGGCAAACAATAAAGAACCATCTGAACTGTTGGATTCACGACTTTCCATCAACCACTCGTCCGTGACGCGTCGTTTGGTTAGAAAACGTTCCCAAAACTACGCTTAAAATCGCCATTTTTTTTTCATCTTAATCTCTTTATCTCACGTCTCTCATTTAAAATTTTGTTTGCTCGTGTCAAAAACAGTAACATGACAAAGAATCCAGGAAGTTTTTCGGCTGAACTGCAGGCTGTGTTTAAATATAAGAATAAACGGTAAGAATAAAAACATCTATAACATGTAGAGTTCACGTTTTCTTTTACAGCTTTGGTAAAACACCAGCAGACAAAACGTACTGCTGATTCTAGGTTTTTAAAAAGTTTAGTTGAAAAGAAATTCAACGGTCATATTTCTTATTTTAATGATTTCTGTCGTTCTAACTGTGCTTGCGTTCTCTCAGGACTTTAAAATGCAGTGAAAATGACTCCACGGTGATTAAAAACGTGAGAAAAGAGACGTTTTGGGGAGTTTATGGCCTCAAATGATGGTCGACGATGAAGACGTGACAGAAGATGAGAGAGGTGACGGACGGGGAATGACATGAGGCCTGAACTGAGGCGGATTATTTCTGTTTGGATCCTCGTAGCGACGTAAACGAACAGAGTGAAGCCTTGGACCACATTTCCCACAAGCCACGGAACCAACAGTTCTTATGGCGGCGGCAGAACGGAGCTCCAGAAATGCTGCTTTTAGCCGTGACAGGAACTCGTGAAACTCTTCTCCCTGAGCTTCATCTGCTCCTCTGAGTCACCTCCTCCTCCTCCTCCTGGTTCTTTTTTACAATCGATACCCGTCTTACATCACCGCCCGACTTCATGCATTCGCTTCACATTTCCATCCTAATTTGTTCCCATCGCAGCACCTCCAGGCGGAGCCGGATCAGGACTCGCGGTACAGGACTGCACGAGTCGTGACTGAGCTCAACTTTCTTCTGACGAACCAGGAACCCCGAAGCCTCGTGCAGCGGCTTCGAATCCCCCCGCCGTGACGTCAGCACCACGGGGGAAAATATTAGAAAAATAAAAACCCACTTCACAGGGCCTGACGCCGGCTGGCTCCACCGAGCTGAGAGGAGGCATTCCCTTTGAAGCCGGCAGCTCAGCGACGAGGAAATCTGGGTTACAATGAAAGAGGAGGAAGATTCCCCGACGCGCTCAGACGTGAGCACGAGTTTCCTCCAGAAATAAGGAGCGTCGCAAAAAAGCTCCTCAGTTTATCTGCTTCTTCATTCATCAATATCTCTGCATGATCCTTCCAGGAATCTGAGGAGGACGTGGAGGAGAGAAGATCATCCAGGATGTATGTATCCACCCTCAAAACACACGGCATCAAGTTTATGTGGTCAGACATGAAGTGTTCAAGAAGTTTTAACTTTTGCTGCCTTAAAAGAAAGAAAACAAACCAGGGATCTCTGACTCTGGTCCTCGTGAGCTACTGTCCTGCAGGTTCTAGACGTTTCTACAACACTCCCGACTCACATTAATGGATCATGAACAGACTCGTGTAGAACTTGACAACAAGCTGCTGGACGGTAGCCACGAGGACCGGAGCTAGACATCCCTGGAACAAAGCAATCGAAGTGGCGGCTTGACCACCTCAGAGTCTCTTGAAACTTTCTAGGAATGATCTCTGGCATCTAAACTGACATCTGCTCTTTTTGTTCCAAGCTGAAATTCCAACATATTCATCGTTTTTCACCCAATCATCTCTCACGAGTTGGACATTGAGCCACTTTCAGACATCCACATCTCTTGAAGTATACGTCCTTCAGTCTCCACATGTTCAGGAGATGTTCAACCAGAGAGAACCCACACTGCACGAGGAGAACATGGAGACTCCACCCAGAAAGATCCCAGGTGTCCATGAACCAGCTTCCAGCCCCACTTCTGGAAATCAAGACTCCAGAGATCTCTACCAACAGTCTACATCCGGTGAGTCAGACCACATGACTAACGGATCCATCCAGGTGCCCACTTCCTCTTTCTAAATCTCTCCCAGGTTACCTCTTCTTCTCTCTCAGTCTCCGATCAAACGAACTCCTCGGTGGGTTCAGGGGTCAGAACTCGTCTTAAACTCGACCCTCCAGCTCCGAACGCTCGGCTGCATCCAAACGGGAGAAAACTGGGCCTCGGAGGGAACGTTAGCGGGTCGGAGTTACCCACACAGAAATCAATACGGACACGAGCTGTGAGAAGGAAGAAGCTGAAGCGTTAAAAAACAAAAAGCAGTGTGGGCAACGTCTCCTCGGCGGTACCGGCACCGGGGTGGAGGTATAGATAGAACTCCTGCTCCGAGGTCTCCACAATAACAGCAGAAACCTTGTCAGCCGGAGTTTCCTTCTTCCTGCTCCTGCATCGGCGAGACGCTCCTGATTTGTTGGTTGTTTTTGCATAAACATGTCAGTTTCCCTCGTCGTCCTCTGCATTCTGATTGGACGGCGTTACCTCCGGCGCTGATCCGGCACTCTGCAGCTCATTAAACCCAAACCTCTGCTCTTTTCACTCTCTTTGAAGAGGTCCTCCTGGACTCTGATGATGAACCTCTTCTTGGGATTGCTGGGATGTTGTGGGGCTCTCTGACCGACGGAGAGGCTTCCTTTTATTTGACCTTTTGGCATTTAGGGAAGCTACGACCTGCCGGCTCGCCTTATAAAACGAGACGCTGGTGCTTTCTGGCCCTCTGAACATGTTTTCTTTCTTTAAAACGCTGAAATGACGCCACTTATAGGAGCCAGAAAGTGTAAAAACAGAAGAAACCTGTTGGGTTTTTAACCTTCTGATCGCTCTGGAACTTTTTTTGTCGGGGAAAAAAACAAATCTAAGCTTGAAGTTGCAATATTTAGTTATTCCACATGTCCTGTTTTTTTTTTTAAAAAATCTCAAAAACAAATAATATGTACGAACCAGATTGTGTAAAATACAAAAAATTTCAGACACCTCCACAAAACCGTGAAGCCACGACTGACTCAGGTGTGATTAACAGTCATGTGACAAAAATTCTTCAAAATCTAAAGCCTGAAATGGTGACGTGTCATCAAAACCACTCGTGTCTCGTTTAAATATTCGTCAAAAATTAACCTTTTGCTCTGACGAGATTCTGTAAAAAACAAAAAATTCTGCGCTCCACGTCACAAACGTTAAGCCATAAAATAGTGAGCGGTGACCAGCAGTCATGTGACAAAAACTCTGAGACTTTTTTTAGCTGAACTATATTTTTTAAAAACTTTTTTGTAAAATATAAATATACATTTTTATTTTTTTTTTCATGATTTATGCCAGTAAGAGGTGCAGTTTTCTCTCAGAACTTTCAAATACAACTTGCTAAAAGGTTATTATGGATTTGTTTCACCCAAGGATGGTAAAAAATAAAAATAGAAAAACTGCTTACTTCAGCTTTAGGAAGCAGCAGCAGGACATGATTCAGGAAAACATCC